GCCTGGAGGAAGGAGAGATTCCTGCTGGAGAGGACGCATTGGACCACCCCACACACGGCGGTGCAACAAATGCTTTTCATTACTGTAGCTCTCTCTGGTGGTCGGCGTCCGGGAAAATGAAAAAGAAAGGTGCCGGGGGGGGGGGGACAACGTTCGTTCGGGTGCCGTGCGGACAGGCAAGGTCTACTTTCTCCTTCCTACTCAATCCAGTTCGTCTGCACTGACTGGCTGCTGGCAGAGGGGGGCGGGGGGCACTAGGATTGTGGGTGAGCACGCAGCCACAATCCTCGTCTTGGTGTACGCAATGGCAATATCTAATGAACGTACTCCAGAATAACGGCGCAGCAGGAAGACGAACACTCCCCCCCGCTGGCCATCGAGCACGCTCACAACGCCTTCTTCGTGTTGTACAAATACACTCAAGACTACGCGACGTAGACTAGGCTATTTGTACCCTCAGAAAACCAGCTCACATGTAGTACAGCAGACTACCGAGCCCCGACTGCATCTTGGAACTATCCCCCGCCATCATACATTGCCGGTAGCGGACACGAGCGAGAAGCGACAGGCACAAACAAACGCGAAAAAGACGGACAGTTTAGAGACCAGAGTTTCTTTGAACGGGAATACGTCGTGGGCCCCACCTCACCATCGTAGCCAACAGCACACCCACGGAGCTCCCGAGAGCCAGGAGGCCCTAACGAAACGCTCTGGTTGCATGCAACTCTACCACGCGCGACACTCGAACTGCTCAGGGTATATATATAGCGGTCGCCGTCCCCCGTGATGTGACCTTCAGGAGGAAAGCAAGGGGGGAGGCTACAATAATACTCGCAGCGTGAAGATGTCATACTTTCACGATCGGGAGCGAGAGCCTGGGCGGCCTACCGGCTGCTGCGCAACAACCGAAATGAGCCCACAGCGTGCACCAACAAAGCACATGCATTCCTGCTATTATTATAAATAGTAGTTCCTTGAAAATCCCATCCATCCACCCTTCCTTGGAGATCACACATATTTTCGCGTTCCTCCTCCTCCTCCTCACCGCGAAAGAAAACCATTCGCGCGGAGCAGTTCCGGCATCGCCTCCTTCATCCCCAGGAAGGGATCGGTGGGGCGGGGCGGAGCGAGACCCTCTTCCTTTGTCGGCAGAGGCGCGTCCACAAGCCCTCCCACCATCATCCCCTCCGCATCGTCGGCCCCTCCACAAGTGGGCGACGGTCTCGAGGCCGCCACCACGGCTTGTGACAAAATTTGTTTTCCCTCGGCAATCCGCGGCGCCCCCGTCTCCCCCAAGATGTGTTGATCGATGCGGGTATCGACAGCAAGGACGAGGCCACAGATGTCTTGTTCCACGACCTTCTCTGGCAGCTACACGATCGCCGGGTGCAACAGCGGATAGAGGAGCGCCGACGGGCGGGAGGCGGGGTGGTCTCATAGTCGTGCATGCCGTGCAGTAGTCGTTAGACCATTGACCTCGCATCCCTACAAAGCCGGGACGGAGCACGCCGGGTTCTCACCGAACCAGGCTCTCACATCACCAAGCGCGAAGCGCCGTGAGGTACTCGGCGAAGCGCATGAAGGGTGCTCCGCATCCTACCAAGGGTGTTCGGTATCTTGTGCTCACTTCCTTGCATATGTATGACAGCTGCGAATGACT